ATAGATTTGCAAACGAAACGCTCTGGGGGGTCAACCGAGTCCGTGTAATCACGAATATTTCCTGAAAAAATAGCACCTCTCCTGCTCACTGCTGTAGCAACCATCAAAAATAGCTGTGTTAATTAAACGCACAAGGGGTTCTTGAATGAAATAATATTATAAAAGGCAAACCAGAATTGTTAACGCCCAATATACTCCTTAAACAAAATAAACAGAGTCAGATTTCATGCATTGATCCATTATATTGACAAAGGAGCGATCTCACCCGGTGTTTGTAGAGAATATCTCTCTTTCTGAGCCGTCCTCTCGATGCAATATCCACAGAGACGTGCTTCTTGGTTTCTTTCAGTTAACTTCCCCGTTGCATTTATCCATATGCTGAGGAAATGACTATATCCCGCTGAATACCAGCAATCGCCACACACACTGACTTCCTCCTGTCAGTAGCTACTGCTAGTGCTACTGCTACTGACCATGCTACAGATATTAGTGCAAAAATATACAGCTCCTCTACCACAACCATCAGCAACAACAGATTCGGTTTCTTTCAGTTTCTTTCAGTTTCAGTTTCAGTTTCGGGGCTTAAACAGAAGGGTAGCCATGGCAACATTGCTGCGGGGCTGCTCCAGGCTGCTCTTCTTCGCGGTTTTTGGTGTATTTTGGCGGAAGTTACAGCACCACTTACAGTCCCAGCATATGTACTACAGCGTTTCCAGCGGCCTCGTTTAAACAGACACGTTAAATGAAACAAATGCATGTGAACGGAAGACTTTTTTGAATACGCATACTGTGCATAAACGCACACGGGACGAGGTGCCGTTTACACGAGGACAAAACGGCTTGTATCTGCATAGTTTCTCTTGCGTATAGCCCTATTATTTACATGAGGCCGATAGAAACGGACCCCACAAACGATAACGGATCCCAAGGTGGATAGATTTGCAAACGAAACTCTCTGGGGGGTCAAACGAGTCCGTGTAATCGCCTCTATACGAATATTTCCTGAAAAAATAACGATAGCCCCGCCTCTCCCCACCTCTCCTGCTCACTGCTGTAGCATGGCCAGTAGCCATCTGTAACGGACAACTATCAAAAATAGCTGTGTTAATTAAACGCACAAGGGGTTCTTGAATGAAATAATATTATAAAAGGCAAACCAGAATTGTTAACGCCCAATATACTCCTTAAACAAAATAAACAGAGTCAGATTTCATGCATTGATCCATTATATTGACAATTTTCCAGCCAAACAACACAAACAAAATTAAACAGTCCGCTCTGCGATACACCAAACTTGTCTTTACTGCCTAATCCAGGCCATTATTGTTCATTGCTCCTGCGCCCGTCGGCGGCAAAAAGAGAAATGTTTGTAGGCCTATTCAGGCTATAATCCACACAAAAAAACGAAACACAGGACCGGCATGTCCCAGAGGAGCGATCTCACCCGGTGTTTGTAGAAAATATCTCTCTTTCTGAGCGCGTCCTCTCCACGGAGACGTGCTTCTTGGTCGGTCGATGCAATATCCACAGATTCGGTTTCTTTCAGTTAACTTCCCCGTTGCATTTATCCATATATTTACATGCTGAGGAAATGACTATATCCCGCTGAATACCAGCAATCGCCACACACACTTCCTCCTGTCAGTAGCTACTGCTAGTGCTACTGCTACTGACCATGCTACAGATGTTAGTGCAAAATCTACAGCTCCTCTACCACAACCATCAGCAACAAGTGGACATGGAGAATTACATGAACTACATGTTGCTAAATCCACCGCGGGGCATAAACAGAAGGGTAGCCATGGCAACATTGCTGCGGGACTGCTCCGGAGTCTTCTTCGCTGCTTTTGGTGTATTTTGTGGCGGAAGTTACAGCGCCACTTACAGTCCCGGCATATGTACTACAGCATTTCCAGCGGTCTCGTGTGAACAGACACGTTAAGTGAAACGAATGCATGTGAACGGAAGACTTTTTTGAAAACGCATACTGTGCATAAACGCAAACATTCCCGTGTGCACAACGCCTCAGGCATTTGTACGGTCTTGGATCAAAGCTGGCCACAAACCCTCCACATCATGGGTTCCGGGACCGAACGCGAAGAAGAAGCCGCCCAGGTCCCTGTGGTCGCTTTTACAGTAAGGTAAGAGAGTCAATTTTACTGTTTGAGCTTTGTGTTTGTTTGGACTGGCCCCAGTCCTACTGTTGATATATTTGTTGACACACACACACACACACACACACACACACACACACACACACACACACACACACACACACACACACACACACACACACACACACACACACACACACACACACACACACACACACACACACACACACACACACACACACACACACACACACACACACACACACACACACACACACACACACACACACACACACACACACACACACACACACACACACACACACACACACACACACACACACACACACACACAATCTTATTACAGAACTAGCGCCCGAACAGAGTTTATCTTTATATCTCAACGACATTAACGACTGCTAATGCTGCTCTTTCACTTAAACATTTTTCCATCAGAGAACCAGCAGGGCATTTTCTTTTCATTGTGAAGCAGCTATAGGTAAACCATTGTTTTTCATGAGTTGACAAAGCTTGTTAAATAGAAAGTGGTCTAAACAATAAGACATTCTGCAATATTTCATAGAAATAAACAAGAAAAATAATCTCCAGTGAGCCCTCCACAGTTTTGTCAAACAAATTACTTTTATATGTCTTGTATATTTTGGATTTAAAAAATGTAAATTCCCTTTGTTATGTGTCATACAAAAGGCAGTCTCTAACAAGTGACTAAATGAGATTACTTAATTTCTGTGGGTAAAACTTTGCAAAGATTACGGCAGTAGTTAACTTAAAATGTGTGAATTCAACAAGATGAATCCTTTGAGAAGGGACATCCAGTCTGACAGGTGGTTACAAAGTAGAACAGCATCAGCAGAAAGGTCATGTTTTATTGTTGGACACTCCACTATGAGAACTTACTGCCAATTCCTGAAGCTCAATAATCACTATGCCACTAACTAGTTGTAATATCTGGCCTGGAAACAGATTATTTTGAGTATCATCATGGCCTTTCAGTAGTTTCACTCTATATGGGAAATGACAGCCTTTTGGCCTTATCTAGGGCAAAGCTCTCCAAATCCATGAACAGTAGAAATGCATAAGTAAACAGAAATAGTGCTGAAAACAGCAGGCAGTAGTTACGTCTTGCATTTGAGAATATTCAACGAACATGAGAAGGCATACTTCATGTGTGAAAAAAGAAGCCAAACAGAGAATGGCGCTGAAGTTGCACCCTGACTCCGAGCTCATCAGAGTAAATGATTCTGCTGCCAATCCCAAAGGGAGGGGGGTCATTCACTGTGCTGCCCTCTTTTAGAAAGATACGCTATATCTCGATAAAAAATAGAAGTGGCTCTGAATGACATGGGGCTTGTGAAGACATACTGTTTTCAATTATTTATATTATAATTCAGCAAACTTTTGGGACCATGTACAGTACACATACCATCACTCCCTAACTTCCATTCAAATGGAAAATGGATGTCAATATTGTTGCAATGTTTCACAATGCAGTATGTCTTGCTTTGGGCAGGCCCCATCCTTCTAAGCATGTTTAGACGGATAAAAACAAATCTAATAACTTGACAAGACACATGTAATGTGAGTAGCTGTAGTTTCAGGACCATGGACAGCGCTGCGCGTGTGTGCACTGACCCGGGTGCTGAACGTAGTGGAACATATCTACAGGTTTTATTTATTGTTGGCAGAGGCTACAGTCTGTTTGTTAATTCACTTGTTTATGGAACCAATTTGTGCAAAATTCAGCTCCATGGGCTGTCGCTGTCATTTATACAATTGATATACTGTCATCATTGCTCGTCATACATATAGTCATGTGTCCTGCTCCTTCATGGCTCAAATCACGGCATGACAAAGATCTGCAGGCCCTGGATCAGCTTCTTTTTTTTTCATCATGTTTGACTGCGGGGTCATTTCTAATATTTGTGTTGCTATCTGGACACTTGTGATTTGATCAGCATCTCCTTCAAGTACACAAAGAATATCTTCAATCTAGCGCCATTATATAAAAATCCAACATTGACACAAAACAGTCTCAACAAGACAATCAGTGATTTGCAACAATCACCATAATATCCATTAAAGGCAGGTATTAGAGGTTTAGCTACTTTGGTGTGAAGCACAAAGCAAACCGCGTTTATGTTCTGGGGGAGCAACATGCTCTATGTCCCTACAAATGCTTATGTCATATTTTCAACTAAGTAAGCCTTTTCTTTAACACACACACACACACACACACACACACACACACACACACACACACACACACACACACACACACACACACACACACACACACACACACACACACACACACACACACACACACACACACACACACACACACACACACACACACACACACACACACACACACACACACACACACACACACACACACACACACACACACACACACACACACACACACACACACACACACACACACACACACACACACACACACACACCACACACACACACACACACACACCACACACACACAGCACACACACACACACACACACACACACACACACACACCACACACACACACACACACACACAATCTTATTACATAACTAACTCCCTAACATAGTTTATCTTTATATCTCAACGACATTAACGACTGCTAATGCTGCTCTTTCACTTAAACATTTTTCCATCAGAGAACCAGCAGGGCATTTTCTTTTCATTGTGAAGCAGCTATAGGTAAACCATTGTTTTTCATGAGTTGACAAAGCTTGTTAAATAGAAAGTGGTCTAAACAATAAGACATTCTGCAATATTTCATAGAAATAAACAAGAAAAAGAATCTCCAGTGAGCCCTCCACAGTTTTGTCAAACAAATGGCAAGTGTTTACCTACCTTAGACCTGAGAGCCCAGTATTCCTCTGTGCCATATTCCAAATGATTGAAAGCAGTCAGATAGTCAAAACTGATGATCGCTGTCTGCGGACAAAGAGAGCAGAGACAAGGAAAGACCTAATGAGTAAGCAATTATACTTATTTCTCAAAACCACAGTATGATAGAAAATGATTTTACTGCTCTCCCGTTGTTGTTGTTGTTGTTCTTGTTGACATGTCAAACTCAAGGCCCGCGGGCCACTTCCGGACCGCTGTACAGTTATATCTGGGCTGCGAGAACATTTCCTAACTATCATAACTGGCCCACCTGTATAAGACTTACACCGCTGATACTCAAAGTCCCAGAATGTACTGCATCAGCCAGAGCACCAAGACATTCTAGAAAGGAAAGGAGATATTGACGCCCGACAATTCCTTGCGGCAGCAACATTTACAATGATGCACATCACGCAAATGGACGGACGTTAATAACCTACGCACACGTTGTTATCTGCACCTTCCTACTGCTTTATTGCACACTGATGAGACGTCAGAAGTCACCTAAAAAGAAATGGCCAAACGAAAAGTGGACTCTGAAAACAGGGGCTTTCAAGACAGGTGGGAGGGACAGACACCTGTTTACTAGAATTTGCAGGAAAGCCGTTTGTCTTGTTTGTGGAACTGGCGTGGCCAAATTCAAAGAACATAACAAAAGACGGCACTATTGCCACTTTTCTACCAAACCGGTTTCAAGGCCGGTTCCGGGCTAGAGCCTGATTAAGCTCTGGTTCTTCCTGTTTCCACCGCAGCGGATCCGGCTCTAAGTACCAAAAACCGGTTCTTAGCTGCCCCACTCGGCTACACGGCAAAAACCAAGAACCAAGAACCAATACGTCACGCGGAGGGGGGCGAGAATAACTTTAGCAATAACAGTTCATGGCGAGTACGGCATTTTTGCACTAATGTACATTCTCAAATATTGAAGTGACTGTTATTTTGTATATATTGATTGTTGTGTTTTTATTTAGGTCCTAACATATACATGCAATATAGGGCTGCACGATTTGGGGAAATAATCAAAAAAAAAGAAATTCTGACAGATATTGCGATTCGATTTGCGATATTTGTTTTTAAGCGACCCAACGGAAGTTTATTGTAAAATGCGGCCATATCTCCGGCTAGGAAGGTCGTATCAACGTGCTCCCGTCTCTAGCACCCCCGCAGCCCGAGCTACGAGTGAAAGAACTAAACTTACATGAAACTTCCGTTGGGTTGCTTTAAAGTCAAGCTTCAGTTTAAGATTCACCCTGTAATAGAAACATGTGATGGAGCATTACTAACCTGACTCAGATGGTTTGTTTCACCAAACCATCAAGGAAAGCTCCATTGGAAGCCATTTGGAAAAGTATTTCAAAAATACTTGGCAGGTGATTGGATCAATCTGTCTATCACCTACTATCATGGGCCACTTCTGATTGGTTAACAATGACTGGTACATGGGGATCACAGCACTTCTGATTGGTGTGGATGACTGACACACAAGAAGAACAAAACATTCTTTATTTATTTTATTAAACTTAAAAACAAAAAAACAAAAAAATATCGCAGGCTTTGCGATTTGATAATTGCATCATTTCAAATTGCGATTTCGATTTAAAATCGATTAATCGTTCAGCCCTAATACAATATATACATATCTGCACACATATTTTTATACACATTTGTTTTATATTCGGGATTGTGGGAAACGGTATTTCGATCTCTCCTAGAAAGACAAGGTAAACTATGTGCAACTATGTGCATTTAAAAATAAAAAAGAGGAATAGTTTCGGCGAAAACTAAAAGGTACCATGGGGTCAGATTATAATTTTCCAAAGGGGGGTTCGTTCAGATGTGTGTATCTCACACTCCACTGTAACTGTAATTCATGTATCTTTGCTTTTAAATGAATGTTTTTAGATATCATTTTATAATATGTTTCTTAATGCTATTAATGTCTTTCATTTTTGTAAAGCACTTTGAATTGCCTTGTGTTGAAATGTGCTATATAAATAAACTTGCCTTGCCTTGCCTTGCCTCTCTGTCTGTACACAAAAACTGGAAGATTGACAATAAACTTGACTTTGACTTTGATACAGCAGGAAACACTTTGTGGTAAAGCTCTTAAAATGGAATGTCCTTAGCACCGTAGCACTTACAGTTAACTTTATAAGAGGTAAAGGCTTAAGTCACCGCCAGTTTCAGTATTTTCTTGAGGATTCCAAACATGCCGATGTGCCCTATCACACAGAGGTGAGATGGCTAAGTTAAGGGAAAGTACTGAAGAGATTTTTTTACTTGCATGAGGAAATCTACCAGTTTTTGGAAAGTTAAGGGAAAGATACCAGCTCAGAAATTTAAATTTGAACTGTTCAGCAATCCATTTGCAGTTGAAGTGGACGTTAACCTCCAATTGGAGCTGATAAACCTCCAGTGTAATGACACACTCAATGCAAAGTATGACTGTCGGGGCTGCAGTTTCCAAGCTTCCTCCCGGAAAAAATGCCTCAACTCCGCCTACATGCTGTTCAAATGCTCTGCATTTTTGGAACCAAATACCTGTGTGAGCAGATTTTCTCTTTGATTAACCTGTTAAGCCCTGAGCCTGTTTTTCAGGTCTCAGGCTCGAAAATGACATTCCCAGAACAAATGACTATATCTTCCCTTCTAAAAGGGTTAAATTAATAATCTTTTTTCTCAAAGTAATGATAAACCTGTGAGTTGGATGTAGAAAAGTCAGAATCAATATAGATGTTTTTTATTTTAAAGAAAATTCATATTTTACATAGTAAAAAACTGTAAATTATAGTGTCCGTCCAAACATTATTTTGTACTTATAGTGAAAACTACCCTTGGATGATGGTAAGGTAGACTAAAAGCTTTAGGAATCCAAAGTACAACATATAATAAGTACCCTATATCAAGATTGATGCAAAACAAGTGACATTTTACCTTTTTAGAGAGATTTAGCAAAAAGAAACCACTTCTGGGGTCATTTGGGTGGATTTTCCATATCTCTGGCCCCCCTTGGTCGACTTTGATGCTTGACACCTCTTTCTGACCGTTAGAGCCAATAGAATCGAAGGGGGAGTCCCCCACACACACGTTGTGAAGAGAAAAGGTGGGGGCTTCGCGCATGTAATTTTCCATCAGGGCGAACCTATCTCTAGCTTTGACATCTGGAAACGGAAAAGCAGTTTTAATGCTTATGGATTATCAGAAATCATTTCAAAGGGACACAGACACATTAGATTAACCTATGGATTAACTTCAGCAGCGTTTTTATCGTTTTAATGCCATTGAAGACCACTTTGGAGAGACTACAGAGCCACGGTAAAAAAATTAGCATTTTTAGCTACCTAGCGTCACCTGTTTTGATGTCTGTTTTTGCTTATAACGTCGTGAATTCGTATAATTCAGTGATAATGTGGGTGTCCATCGATTCTGTGTCACCTCACGATGTGAAACGATGTCATGGATGTAGAGAAGAGATAAATAATAAGGTTTTGTGAGTGATTTTCTGTGCAGTAAGGTGTTAGCATTTTTCGCTCGTTGCTAATTCAGAGGCTCAGTGTTAGCATTGTGGGTTTTATTTTGAAAAAAAAAAAAAAAAAAGATCAGTTAGATGAGTTTCTTCCCGTTACATGGATATAAAACATTCATAGTTTATTAAATGAACATACCCTCAGACACTGTTTCCTGCAAGATGTTGCGGCAGTGCCCCGGTACCGGGGTCTCTCGGGCTTAACAGGTTAAGATGAAAAAAAACACCCACACAGGAGTCGTCTCACTGATGCACACCTTCGCTCCATCTTGAGGATTTCCACAGCACAAAACCTAACCCCAAACATGAATACACTGACAACAAAGAAAATATGCCAAACATCTGTTTCTGGCCAACAGGTTCTCACTCCCAACTCGTCCTATATTGACGTTATGTCCGGATCCCTTGGCGTTACTTTCAAATGCACTGGGAAGCCCTTTAGCGTCGATAATCAACTATCAGGGAGTCCCATAGACTTGCATAGAGCTCCGTAAACGTCGGTAATAGACTGCTTGAGATCGCGGAGAAATGCTCTCCGCCAACCCAACCTCAACTTCTCAGCGTTAATCAACTTTTTTCTTACTCAATATCAATATCATGTCTCAGGGCTTCTTAACATTTAAAAACCTATGAATGTCTCGTACTCAATTAACGGGAAGAAACTCAGCTACCTGACGTTACGAGCCATTTTTACCGAAACAAAACACAAGTCTCACAAGAAGCGTTAGCATTAGCCCTTAGCGAAAATGGGCTGATGCTACTTCCGGTGCTTTAAAACGTAATATGTTCTGCACAAACTACATATCATCTGAAAGCTGATACTCCACAGATTATTTTGATATAAGTATCATCACTGCACAACAAGAACTCACTGAGCTAGCAGCCAGAACAGAGCAAGAAAACAACAACAGTTTTCTAAACCATAACAATAATTATGTCTTACCGTTGCTGTTTTGTGATCAAAAGTCGTGTTCAAGGGAATAAAAACGCTGCTCAAGGTTAATCCAATGTCTCTTAGTCACTTTAGAATTGTTCCTGATAATCCATCATTACATCCATGGCAGCAGAGTAGGTATAAGGTTTTGCAGTCCGGGGCTAATGCTGTCTCCCACGAGGTTTACGCAAACCTCTTACTCCTCCACGTAAGTGTTTAGCGGGACTTACTAACTGCCACTCGATTCTATTGGCTCTAACGGTTCAGAAAAGGTGTCAATCACCCAAATCGACCAATGGGTTCCAGAGATAGGATCCTGCGTAGTATAAATAATGCCAGCAGCGGCTATTTTACGCACATGACGCAGCAGCACCAGCACCGCAGCACCACAGCAGCAACACAGCGACGAACACAGCGACGAACACAGCGAACAGAGAACACAGAGACGACAGAGACAACAGCAGGCAACATAACATAATATTACAAGGACAAGGATTTATTTGCTTTTAGGACTTATTTGAGCAAATAATGGCACCCAGAAAGAGGCTGTATAAGCTTGAAGACGCCGTGGAAATGGTGTTCACTGAC